CAGCCCGTGTCCGCGCCGCAGACCGGCAGGCGCTGCGAAGCTTGGCTCCCTTCAGCGCCCTTCTTCTTGCCTAATTAAAATATATTGACCTCTATCTATATGTGTGTGTATATATATATATATATATATACACACACATATACACACACACACACACACACACACACACACACACACACACGTGTGTGTGTGTATTTATATATATATATGTGTATTTATATATATATATGAGTGTGTGTGTGTACATATTCATGCATACACACACACATAGATGCATGTGTGCATGAATATATATACACACATAGGTAGATATACATGCATATACATGCACATATGTATACATTATGTGTGTGTAGATATATATATACACGTATATGTGCAAGTATATGCATGACTGTATATATGTACCCACATATATGTGTGTATATATACACATGTATATCTCTGTGTATATATATATATACATACACATATACATGTATAAACACATATGTGAATATATATGTATTACATACATATATATTATACGTATATATATATACATATGTAATATATGTATACATATATAATGTACATATACACACGTATGTGTATATATACATATAGGTGGGTGCATATATACATGTATATACACACACATGTGAATGCATGAAATATGTATGTGTATATATATATACATATATATACATATATATATACACATATATATATATACATATATATATACATATATATATACATATATATACATATACACATATATACACACCCCCCTATACATACAAGAATAGGTATGTGCATGCATGAACACACACATATAATCATAGCCTGATAAATGGTTAGAAAAGCCCTTTGCGAGCATCAGGTGCTCCCGTGGCCACCACCCCTGCCACCCCCCTGTATTTATATACACACGTATACATATACCTGTATATATTTGTATGTGAGTATGTACACACACACACACATTTATATACACACGTATACATATACCTGTATATATTTGTGTGTATGTGAGTGTGTATACACACACACACACACACACACACACACACACACTTGTCGTCTGCAGAGGCCAGGTTAGCTTTTCTTTCCCCTTTATTGGCAACAAACCTGAGTGGGTGGAGAAAAGAGAGGAGGAAGGTGGTGTGGAAGGAAGCAGAAGATGGGAAGAGAGGGAGAAAGCCCCTTAGCTAAGTGTGATACAAGGTGTCTCACGCCAAGGATTTTGCTTCTGGAAAAAGGAGCAGGTTGGCAGGGCTGCCACCAGGCCAGGCCGTCTCGGGGCTCTCCAGGACACGGTCCCTTGTCCTTGTGAGCCTCATGGGGCGGTTGGTGGTTCCCGGGTGGCCGGGCTCCCTCTGGAATGTGCCTTTGCCCTCAGCTCTGGGGCCGGCACCTCCCGGCTTGGAGCCATCTGCAGACGTGATGAGGTCCCATCCCTCTCCTGCTCCAGCCCTTGGTGGAGACGTTGAGCAGGCGCTGGGCTATTAAACAGCTCGTTCTTCATCCCTGGCTTCCTGCTTTTCGTCTAAACAGCTCCTACTAAACTTGTTATCTTTGAGTCACTCGGAGGAAATGCTGAGAACTCGCAGTGTTTAATTGGATTGCGGGAGGCCATTTGCTCTGTGTAAACGCAGGCGCCGCTTTGTTTAAGAGGAGACATTCCCGCGATCCTCCTGCCCCCGGGGCTCCGGGCAAGCAGGTAAAAATAGCCCAGCTGCGCAGGAGCCGGCGGGACATGGGCTCCTTGGGAGAGAAGGGCTCAGGAGCAGCCCCTAGGCAGGAAGGGGACGGCTGCTCGCTCCCCTTCCTCGCTTTCCTTCTCCCACCGACCTGGCTGTCTTGGGAGGAGAACTATGTGGAACCTGAGCATGGTGAGGCCCCCCCACAGGGCTTGGCCAGCCTTGTCACACAATCACAGCATGGGTGAGGTTGGAAGGGACCTCTAGAGCTCATCTAGTCCAACCTCCCTGCTCCAGCAGGCACACCTGGAGCATGTGGCACAGAGCAGCATCCAGGCAGGTTAAGGAGACTCCACAACCCCCCTGGGCAGCCTGTGCCAGGGCTCTGGCACCCTCACAGTGAAGAAGTTCCTCCTCACATGGAGAAGGAACTGCCTGTGTTTCAATTTACACCCATTGCCCCTTGTCCTGTCACTGGCCACCACTGAGAAGAGTCCCTTCCTCCCTGCATTCCCCCTTCATGAACTTGTGTGTGTTAATCAGATCCCCTCTCAGCCTTCTCTTCTCCAAGGTAACCAGGCCCAGCTCACTGACCCTCTCCTCATATGACAGATGCTCCAGTCCCTTAATCATCTTTGTTGCCCTCCACTGGACCCTCTCTAGAAGCTCCAGGTCCCTCTTGTCCTGGGGAGCCCAGAACTGCCCCCAATACTGCGGGTGCAGCCTCCCCAGAGCTGAGCAGAGGGGCAGGATCCCCTCCCTCGACCTGCTTGTCCCCAGTCTAGGGCAGCCACAGAGCCAGGGCCCAGCGTGTTTATGCAGCTTGGACTCAGCCTGGTTTTCCCTTCATGAAAAAGGCCAGGAAAGCTGAGGGTCTCCTATCCAGCTTTGGAGGGAAGGACTTTAATCCCACTGGGTGAAACATCAAGCACTGGAAATAAAATACCTGGCTAGAGCCCTCCTTCCTCTCCAGGTCTTTGCCCCACCGAGGAATTCTGCTCCTTGAAACCTGCTTGAGAAGGAGATTCGAAAGGGAACCATCTCCAGGCGTTGCCTGCGTCACACTCGTGCTCAGAGCTGGGATTTCTTGCCTGTTGCTCATTTAAACATGCAACATCCGTTAGGTCCAGAGCTCAGCTCAGCATGTCATGAGGAGGACATCTGGAAGAAAGAATCGTCCCAGCAGGGTTTTTAATTGCAGTTTATTAATCCTATTTATAGGATGCAATTTTTTTCTTCCCTGCGATGGTAGGAAGCAGGAACGGTGCTCCTGGCTCATTGATCTTGCTGCGTTCGGCCGTGGGGACGGCCTCCCTTTGGGCGAGGAGCCCTCCCCACGGCCCGGCCTGGAGGCGCCGTTGCATCCAGGGCATCCCTCCGGAAGGGCCACGTGCAGCCGGAGCGTGGCCGGGGCTGCTCGAGGGGCTGCTCCCCAGCACCGGGGTGGGCAGGGTTTAGGTGTATGTGTTAGCGCCAGAGCTTTTTGCAGGGGCTCTTTTGGCCCAGGTGCTTCCTGGGTTTTCCATCCTGCTCCCGCAGCCAAGAGCTGTTTGGAGCAGGATGCAGCGAGCTGGTGTCCCCCATGCGGCAGCCCCGGCTCCGCGGGCAGGGCTGGTGTTTGTCCCCAGGGCGCGGGTGCCGCGGGCACGGGCATCGCTGGGGATTTACAGCGGGGCGGCAATCCCAGGCCTCCCGACCCGCCGGTCATTCCTGGAGTGCTTCCTGCTGCCCCCTCCAGCCAGGAGCACCAGGAGAGGAGGCAGCCCCCCCCAGGCCCTTCTGCCTGCGCCGCCCCGGGCACCCAGGGGCCCCTCCGCTTGCTGCGAGCCGCGTGTCCCCGAGCAAATCTCCCCTGGGCGACGGGCTCCGGGTGCAAGGGGCTGGCCAGGGCTCCCTGGCCTTTCACTGCTCTAGGTGCCTGATTTAGCAGCTGTACCTATTTATCTCTCTGCGTATATTTATAAATATGTATATATAGAGGCCCTCCCCAGCAGCCCGGAGCCTCGCTATTTCCGGGCGCTGAGCACCAGCGCTCCCACGTGCCCTCGGCCGCCAGGGAGGTGGCGGCTGCAGGAGCTGCTGCCAGGGCCACAAGTGTGGCCGGAGCGCCCTGTCCCAGCGTGGGGCCCTGCGGCGGGGACACGGGCACAGGGCGGCTCTCCTGAGCTTGTCCTGCTGGGATGTGGTGTGGTCCTGCAGCACTGGCCACGGGGGCAGCTGGGCATGGGCAGGGAGGTGGGCATGGGGAGGTGGGCATGGGGAGGTGGGCATGGAGAGGGAGGTGGGCATGGGGAGGAAGGTGGGCATGGGGGTGGTCGTTGCAAGTGGGCTCTTAGGGGGGTTCCTGACGCAGGGAACGCAGCGCGTGCCTGCTCTGTGTCTCTGCTCGCTCGGTGCCGTCCCCTCGTGGGTGGTGACGGCCCGGGCGGCCTCTCTGTGTCCCCGCAGCACCTACGGCGAGCTGACCAACTGCACGGCGCTGCTGGCCGAGAAGCTGGCCTGCTACTGGCCCAACCGCCTGGTGGACGACTTCTTCGTGGCCGTGCACCGGCACTACTTCCGCAACTGCTCGCAGTCGGGCCGGGCGCTGCGCGACCCGCCGGCCACGGTGCTCTGCCCCTTCATCGCGGGCCCCGTGCTCGTCACGCTGCTGGCCACGGCGCTCGTCGTGTGGCGCAGCAAGCGCAGCCAGGGCGGCGTGTAGCGCCGCGGCGCGCGCGGTTCCCGCCGCGGGCCCGGGGCGCGTGGGCAGCGCGGAGCAGAGCGGGGCGAGCTCGAGGCTTTTCCTCAATAAAGGAGGTGGCAAACGGGGCCGCGGCTGTCGGTGCTGCTGGGGCCGGGCGTGCGGCGCTGCAAGGGGATCGGCCCGGGGCGCGCGAGGCCGTGGGCGGGATGGGGCCTGGGCCCAGCAGGTGCCCGGGGCGCTGGGCTGCTGGGGCCTGCCCCTCTGTGACACCCTTGTCCTCACTGGGGGCTCAAAGGGGTGACCCCGGGCACGCGATACCCTGGGCTGCTGCCATCCATGCGCCAAGCGGCGACCAGAAAAGGCCCCTTCGCTGCATTTGCACTGAACTCTCTATTTTAGCTAATACTACACGTTTATTAAGTTAGGGATTAGCTTCTCTCTCTTTCAGCTGCTCCACGCAATGAATAGGAAGGAAGAACACCACAGCCCACGCAGGAGCCCCAAATTACCGTGTGAAAGTTGGGTGCTTGCAGCAAAGCCCGTGCGTGCGGGAGGCCCCGCGGGCCCGGGGCTGCCGGCCGTGGCCGCGGGACACCCCGTCAGCACCAGCTCCGAGCCGCCCTGGCTCGGCTGCTGCTTTGGTTCCTCGCTTTTTCCCCCTCCTCCCCCAAAATCAGGCAAGAGGGATTAAAAAAAAAGTGTAAATACAGTTCCAATAGTGATTTCTCTTAAGTTCTCAAGCATATCTCATCAACAGGATATACAGTACAGTTCGGAAGAGTAAACATCTTAAAAGTAAGCAAACAACTGGTTGCGACCAACATACACAATCTCTCGCCGCATCGAGGCCCCCCTCTCCGCTTCACATGGACAGGTTATGGAGTTAGTTTTCTTCTTCGGAACGACATGGACACAGGACTGGGACAACCCGGGCTGGTTGGGCTGCTGCTGCTGAAGTTCAAGACAAGTCTACGGTGTGAAAGCCAAGGTCCTGCCACCCGCCGCCCTTCATCATCTCGCGTAGCGCTTCATGTAGTCTTCAACTTTATTGCGAAAGTCCTCCTAGGGGGAAGCAGAGCCGCGCTGAGCCGGGAACGACAGGCAGCGGGAATCGCTGCCCCGGCTTGGATGTCCAGGGAGCGAGTTAGGCTGCTCCACGCTCCCAGCAGCTCTGGAAGATGGTTTAAGGCCAGAAATGTTATAGCAGGGGGAACAAAAACATAAGCAAACTTAAGGGAAATTCCACCACCAATGTTGTTTTCCTCAAGAGAGCAAGGACTCTGTGCTTTGAAATGAAACCAGATGGTGCAAATTACAAGCGTTCATTGCACACAGAACACGGGAAGATGCTGGACTCCTCAGCATCAGGCACGTGCTGGGCAGCTCCAGTGTCTGAGGGTGCCTCTGGTACCTGAGGATCAGGGCACAGTGTTTTTGAACTAACTGCTACCAAATGATGTGTCTGTTTGAGCAGCTCTCAGGTTTCAGGCTGTCTCGGGTCTCCTAAGATACCAAACCAAACCTGGAACCCTTCCCATTTCTATTGGGCTCTGACAGGCCACCGACTACCCGGATACAATTAAAATAGCAAATAATAACAACAAATGATGCCAAACCCCCTCGTTTAATGCTTATTGTGAATATTTTCCATATTAGTGTTTTCTCACAGCACCAAAACTCATTTTCTCAGAGAAATAAAAATCAGAGCAAGTCAGGCAGAGCACTGCCCCACGTATATACATACCGCAGCAAGTAGCACAGGGGCGTTACGGAGGTGAGTAAAAGGCAGGCCGCTTTGCAGAGGCACAAGCCCCTGGCCAGCAGAACTGCTGCTTGCTGCGCGGCAGGGGCTCAGAGCTGAGCTCAGGGCAGCGGGGCTCAGCAGGGCCGGATGCCCCGGGCCCAGGGGCTCCATGGAGCAGCTCCACGGAGCCCCGCGGCCAACGGGCTCTGCCAGGCGCTGCTGCCCGCGCCCCGGAGCCGCCGTCCCCTCTGCTGCTGCAAGGGCAGATCCCCAGCGAGCGGGCAGCTCCGCTCCCGGCTTCCCAATGGAAAGCCTCGTGTTGCTGGAACAACTCACCTCTCAAATGGTCAACTGATCCTTCAGCACAGCAACAAGCTCAATGAAGCACCTAAACACCGGCAGGCTGTAAAATGCTACCGCTGCAGTATATGTTACCCCGAGCCCCAAAATCTCCTCAGTACCCAGCCAGGACGGGCGCTGATCCCACATTAGGTGTCTCTGAGAATTCCCTCACAGAAGTACAGACAAGTACAGGAATGAAACATACTGATTGGCACATGTACCTAAGCTCTATGATCCTTTTGCACTTAAGAATGATGAAGCTTTTGGAACACAGGACATTCTCTTTTGGGAATGGTTTTACAGATACATCAGTAGGAACCTACCCAGTAAAATGAGATAATGGTATAAAAGCAGCTTTGGTTCATTATCCATCATATACCCGCTGCTGGCAGGCAGCACTTCACACCGTGTAGGATGTGGCCAAGTCCTCCTTGCTCCTGCAACTTGGACCATCTCCCTTCCCACCACGGGGAAGGGTGCGGAGCCCATGGAGCTCCGTGGAGCGGGCGGCCCTGTGTGTCCGGCTGCTCCCCCTGCAAAGGGCTGCGCTTCGGGAAAACCATCCGAGCCATCCCGGCCCCTCAGGCCGCGCTAGCAACACGTCCCCAGGAGGATGCCGCTCATTCCCGAGAGAGGAAATGCCTTGGGGATCTCCGACCTTCCGGGACAGGTTCCATGGGCGGCGGAAACCCGAGCTGCCCGCGCCGGGCTCTGTAAAGCGGCCGCTCCGGGTGCTGCTCCGCGAGCACCCAGGGCAGGTGAGGCCCATGGGGCTTCCTGCCGCCTTTCGGCAACCCGCCCAGGTTGACGTTTCAAAGCAGCGCAATTTGCCAAGGAATAAACTGGGAAAGTGTCACTTCTGAGCTGCTACTTTGCCTAGAGCCATGCAGAATCCAAGTGCTGAAGCATCCACTTTTCTGCCCTGGCCTCAGCAAGTTAAACCATCTGCAGAAGCTTAACCAACTTTACTGAACCAGAAAGGGGCTCCATCCATAACCAAAGAGTTATGGAAGATGAGCAATGGCTTCTATAAATACTTGTAGCATTAGAAAAGATTTTTTTCCCCCATTTCCATCTGTTAGCACAATTAGCAGATGCGCTGTTGCTCATTTGCACATGCTGCTTCCTGGGAGAAGGCTTTAGAGCCTATGGCATGGGCGCATGGTGCAAAATGGGAAGAAATCTGTCCCCAAAGTCCCCAATGTGCTTCTGTGCATGCTTGAATGCCACGGAAAAGCACGGGGTTGCCACAACTGCTGTGAGAGGCACAAACTCCAAACAGGGCAGTTGGTTGCGCTGAGGAAGTGAAGGATTTACTGGAGTAAAGCTGGAGATCAGCGAGTGCAGCGCGGCGCAGGGCGAGTCCTTACGAGAAGCCGTTTCTTGGCTCGGGACCGCACTGCCATCCCCAGTGAAACGTTTCAGCTAAAACCAGCAGAGCCACAACAGAAACTCAGCGGCTTCCCCAAGAACACACCGAGTTGGAAAGTCTTTTAAGGCCAAACGCTCTGCGGAGGCGCCGGCGTTGGCCACGAGCGCACGCAAAAGCCTTGCATGGTTTTAGCCAGCACCTCCGCTCCGGGCGCTCGTGCCGGCGCAGCAGGAGGGCAGCCGGGCACGGGGCTGTGCGTGCCCAGGCTCCCGGGGTCCCCACTGCAGCACACGGCAGCACAAGCTGCCCTTCCGCCCGGCGACAGCTTTGTCTGGGCGAGCGGAGCGCGGCTGCCGTTAATCAGAGCATTTCTTGAGTGTTTCATAACCTCTTGTGGAAGAAAGCAGGAAACAGACGCTCTATTCAGTATCCAAGAATAAACGCGAGCTGCTTATTTTACCTGAAGAATAAACCCCCGAACGCTCATGCTTTTATTGCATCACCGCTCAGTTATAAATAAAAAGCAGAGCTCTTCAAGAAAACCGTCAGAGCCGGGTCCTTCCTGATACCCTCAGAGCTCCCAGCGTGCTGAGGAACGATGCAGAACTCCCAACCTGAAGAAGGGAACGAGGTGAGGAAGCACAAAGCCTGATTTTAGCCAACGGACAAAGGATCATAGTCCAGGAGGAGCTGGCACGGGCCTAGGCAAGGCAGCGCAGCAAGGATGAGACTAATTTCATGCCAATGCTAATGTAAGCAATGCAGCCATGCAACTATTCTGGAAGTCGATATGAAAAACAGACTTGTTGAGCGCGGTATCTGCTGCAGGCCTTGGGACAACCTGCTCAGATGCCCAGCAGGAACTGGACCATCCCGTGGGAAGGAGTGTCCTGGCATCTCCTGACATACCTCAGCTGGAGAGGAAGCATCAGGCTACGGGATTCCTGAGGTGCGGAGACCACCACATGGGGCAAGACGTTCCTCACACTGACAGGTGTCTTACGACACCTCTTATGACACCAAACTCTTGTAATTTTTTATTATTAACCAAGAAACACGTGCGACTTCGCAGACTTAGACCAACTGCAAGATCAGGTCAACGAGTGAATGGAAGAGAAGGAGAATTCCAGCTTTTGGATGAACTAAAAGGAATTACAAATGCTACAAAAGAGGTAAAGCAACGCGATGCTCATGCACGGAGCAAACGTTAACGTGATCCCTGTAAGCAGAGCAGCAAATATTATCAGATATGCAATTTTACAAGGATTAAGTGCCACTTCTTGTATGCCTTGAGAATTAACACTGCAAGATGAGGAAACACGAGGTTCAAAGCCTTGACCTCAATTAGTGATGAAGCCATCTCGGCAGCGCAAGCCTCTGCTGTTGGCGTAACGGCAGGCGGCACTGAAAGTTTAATGAGAGTTTTACGAAAATCTCCTAAAAATTAATGTAGGCTGATCACTAATGACTTAAAATATGGCTAAAGAAGGAGATAGGGCTGAAGAGGAAAACAAAGAGAAATGCAAGTGAGAAAAGGAGAGCTCCCTCGACAGCCCCGCGGGGCACGAGCGCCACCAAACCGCTGCTGTCGAGACAGCCAACCTTCAATTTGCAGCTGCTTTAACAGCCCCAGCTCGTCCTCACTTAACTTGCAAGCCACCTAGCGACGCTCTCCAGTCGCCTCCCCCCGTTTTCATCACTCTCCCTCATTTTATAATTCTGCACATTATTCTGAATAATAATTTCGGGTGCAGGAACGTCGCGCCGGCAGCCCCCCAAACAGCCCCAGCCGGCGGCCAAGGAGCACGGGAAGGATCAAAGCCTCCCGAGGGCAGCGGCGGCCCAGGCTCACCCATCTCTCCACACCCCGTCGGCGCTCGCTCCCTTCCTCTCCTCGCACGTTGCTGCCGTCGTCGGATCCTCGTGAGCGTCTCGGCAGCTCCTGGGATGCTCCAGGCCGGATCCCGGATCCTTCAGCCTGTTAAGATGGGATGAGTTCCCCTCCTCCCCCTCCCCAGTTACAGTTTGACAACCTAGAGAAATTTAATCAAAAAATTACCTGAGACGTGAAAGCGCCCTGCAACGCCGCAGCCTTCCCCACTTACAATAATTTACATTAATCACATTAAATTGATTGCTTCGACGGAGCAAGGCCAGGTTTGGCTTTTCCTTTCCGCCTTTTCTATCAGTCGTGCACTGCCTGGCACAGGAAATTATCCTCCTGGTGGTGGTCTTTGTTTATTTATTTTTAGATGTTTTTATTTTTTAGACAGATGCCACCAACTTTAACCACACACATGGGACAGACTTTCCGTTTAGTTCCTTCTTAAAAAAAATATATATAATACATTATATAAATATATATCTTATTATATTTTAATATATATATCTAAAGATTATATATCTATATAGCTATATAGATATCTATATAGATATCTATAGATATATATAGATATATAAAAAAGAGGAATTTATGACCTGAGCAAGCAAGATGAGTAGCACACAGCAGAGAGCTGGGCTCTGCTCCTCCAAAAACACAAACGTGTTGGAGCACAGAGAGAAAAGAGGCTCCGAAGCAGCCCTGTGCAGAAGCCCTGAGAAGCT